ACACCTCTGCTTTGAAAGATAGAAGGGAAAGAGGAGTGAATTATTTTTTTCTTTTGATTTCTTTTTGAAAGAAGAAAAATATAAGAACTATAACTGTAGAGAAGGGCAGTTCAAGTAAGATCTTCTCTGAAAGTAAAGAAAGCCATTTTTTCCTGATGTAATTTGGAATTAATTGGAGTATCAAAAAATAAATTTAATACTGGTTGATCTGAGAGGTTGCTAACAAGTAAATGATTTTAATGCCAAATTGCTTTATTTTTGTCAAAGAGCCAGGTCTGGTAGAGTTAGGGAATTAGAAAGGACTAAAGGTGGTGATTATCTAATCCATGCTTGGGTCTTTCTAACATGTGTCAATCAGCCAGCAAATACATTTTGAGCACCAGTGATGTTCAGGGTGTACAGGAAGCAATAATGAACAAAATAGACAACACCCCTCCTTCCAAGGAGCTCACATTTTAATAGGTAAAGCCCATAGGTAAATAGGTTCTATAAATACAATAAAAATAAGATAATATAATAGAAAGTGCCTGGAGCAGTGGGGAGCTGCTTTAGTTAGCATTGATCAAAGAGGCCTCAGAGAAAGTGTCATTAGAATTGAGACTAGAATGATAAAAGTAGGCAACTATGTATATAATGGGGAAAAGTGGTCCAAGCATAGTAACAGCAGTCTATACAGAGGCACCGTAAGGTACAAGTTGCTGTGTTCAGGGTACAAAAAGAAAGCCAGTGGGGTTGGAGATAGTGAGCAAGAGAGTGAGTGGAAGATAAGGTTGGAGGAGTAGGTGAGGGCACTTAAAGGGTTTTAAGAAAATGTGTGGCATAATCTGACTTGAATTCCTGGGCTGAAGCAATCCTTCTGCCTCAGCCTCCCAAGTAATTAGGACTACTTTTTTAAATGGTCACTCTAGGGGCTGTGTAGAAGATGAAAGCAATGTAGGCCATATTAAGGTAGAGAGGTGAAGAATATGAGCAATAAAGAATATTTTCCTTAATTTAATTTTAGAAGAATCTGGTTAATATGTTGAACTAAATATTTTTTAATTTTTA